ACCACCAAGAAGATACGTCTTCAGATGAGGATCACATCATGCTCGAGTATTCCATCATTGACACTGGCCAAGGGTTCACCGAGAAGGAAGCCGAACTGATATTCAAACCTTTCAGCCAGATTGATGGCAGTAGTACCAGACAACACGGAGGAAGTGGTCTTGGTCTTGTCATATCCAAGCAACTGGTTGAACTTCACGGAGGCAATATGGCGGGAACCGCCGTCCCCGGAAAAGGGTCAACGTTTATTTTCACGGCATGTTTTGGGCTTCCTACTGCCAAGGATCATCCCGATCTTCTAGGAAGTCCTTCAACATACTCGGTAGCTACTCGCCCACCATCCTCGAGCGGCGTGCCTGGTAATCTGCCATCGTTGCCACCCCCAAAGCAAGAATCTGCCGCCGAAGCAACAAGTGCAGTCCGCGGAGACCTGGATCCCATATCCCCAGAGCTAGGATCGAATGGTAGTTCCAACCTGTCTATGGAGTCGGCCAGGTCCCGCCACACAGACCGGTCCTCTGCTACATCCATCAACACAGGTCTAGTCCGTTTCAGCGAAGCGGCCAAAGCGAGCGGGCAAGATCTATCTCAGATGAAGCTGGAGATGCCCTCTGGAAATAGTTCTCCGGCTCGAACGGCAACTCCTGATAACCCTAATCAAGGCTTATTGGAAGACTTCCGCCCACCAATGTATTCTATTCTCATCATCTGCCCGCAGGTTTATAGCCGCGAGGCAACCACGCGGCATATAGAGATGACACTGCCAAAGGACGTACCCCATCAAATCACGGGGCTGGGGTCTGCAGAGGAAGCCTGTGAGCTTATTGGGGGTGAAGATCCCATAAACTTCACACACATTGTCATTAATCTGGGTTCGGCAGAAGCAGTTGTGAACCTCCTCGGCCAGGTGACTAGGTCTCAGAAGATTGAGAAAACCACGATTCTCATTTTGTCTGATTCCGTCCAGAGACAGGCTGTCACGAAGCTCGCCGCCAATACACCATTCGAACGGCTTCTTACGAAGAATCTCGTGACCTTTATATATAAGCCGGTTAAGCCATCCCGATTTGCTGTTATATTCGATCCTGAAAAAATGCGGGATGTCAGTATTGATCGAAACCGCTCAACAGCACAGAAGATGGTCGAGAGCCAGAAGGCAAGCTATTTGGAGATTGAAAAGAGAATGGGTAACAAGGGTTATAGGGTCCTTTTGGTGGAAGATAACCCTGTTAACCAGAAGGTACTGATGAAGTACCTGAAAAAGATCGGAGTCGACGTGGACGTTGCAGTAGATGGCGTCGAGTGCATCGAAATGGTCATGTCTCGCCCTCAGAGACACTACTCCCTAATTTTGGTATGTCTAACTCCTAAGCACGACGGCCCTTGATGGTAACTAACAGATATATTTCAATAGTGTGATTTACATATGCCGCGTAAAGATGGGTACCAGGCTTGTCGCGAGATTCGACACTGGGAGAAACAAGCCGATGCCCCCAGTATGCCCATCATTGCACTCTCTGCCAATGTCATGTCCGATGTGCAGGACAAGTGTATAGCGGCCGGTTTCAGCGACTACGTGACGAAGCCTGTTGATTTCATTGATCTGAGCCGAGCCATGGCCAAGTTCTTCTAAGAGACTAGCCGTGGGATGCTGAGATGCTTGCATCCAGTAGAGTCTCAGGTTCTCTATTCGCCTTACCTCTTCTAATACTCTTCACTCTCCTTTTTATACAACTTCGTCTCAATGTCAGACGGCAAACGATCGATCTATAGAGAAAAGCATGTGGCAGAATGGCTGTCATTTGGGTCACAGTTGCATGTTGGTGGTATGAGCTTGCTCTTTCGCCTTCCAACTCTTCTATTGTAGCATTAGCCTTGCGTTCACATTATTCCGGGTATTAATGTTTGTTCTATGTCTTTTTTTTTGTCATACTCGCTCCTGCTTCGTCTTTTGCCGGGCAAAGGTCAAGTAGAAGTCGGTTAAGGATGGAAAGGGGTTATTGGAGTTTTGGCATTTGTTATTACTTTTTGTTCTTGCATTTCATCCGGCCTCTGTTTATTCATACATTACTTCCATTCAGCAATCGGTTCTCTCATCTGATGGCCACCCCCTGGTCTAGAGACAGTAATGTGACGAGCTCGCTGGGAGATTGGTTTCGCATTTTAAGGCAGTATTGGTTTGCTTTTTTTCTTTTCTTTTCTTTTCTTCTTACATTCCGGCGGGATAGGTGCATTCGCCATCGAGGAAATGGGATACAGGAGGACAACTACAGGCACCCAGGTTTCATCGTGTATTTCACTCTCATCCTCCTTTTCTTTTCTTTGATACTCTTTGTAAGGGCTTGGAGTCGGACGAATCCATGAGATAGATTTAAACTAAATTCTCTCCTGTTTTAGGAGGGGTTGATGTCATGATACACGAAATGCATGCAAGATCGGTTCCTGTTTGAAGATGCGGCTCACATAAATGGGCCACATGTGCTGTGCTTGATTGCTGCTCGTAACATTCGTAGATTCATGGGCACATAAGGTTAACTATTTTATCGCAAAACCAACCAACCACCTGCTCAGTACACGCTTCCTTGTATGCTCCTATCTTCCTTTTCCGCTCTGTCCAGATCATCGTCGTCCGCAGCACTATCGCCGAGCCGATTCATATAGGCAGGCCGCACAGCATCATGCTCGCTGTCGGAGCTGTCATCTGACCCGTTCGTTTGCCTCCGTAGAGCGGAGGCCGTAGTGACGCGCTGGAGGCGTGCATCGAGAGACGCTAGACGGCGGTGTCGCTGATGTTCTTCCTCGGACGCATCTGTGTCGCTGCCTGCCGTCGAGGCGTGGCCCGAGTACGTGCCGCCAAAGTCACGGCCTACATGAAGATGGTCGTGATAGCGAACGCTTTTTGGGTGAAGCCGAGCCTGGTTCTCTTTGTTGGCGTTATTCTGAGAACTGTTCATTTCCAGGATGTGGTCCTTGGTGTCCCCACTCTCTTCATGATCTTGCTCATCCTCGTCATCGCCATCGGAGCTAACTACGTGATGCACGTGATGCTTCCGGGGTGTCGCGGTGGTTATGGTGGTGCTGGTAGTCGTAATAGTATGGACAGCGTCTGCGGGAGCGCCGTTCGTACCGCGAACGGAGTGTTCCACATCTCGCTGCCTCAAAAGCTCCAAGTCCTCACGTTTCTTATAGTGACTGCTGTGGTTGCAGCCGTCGGGGCACCCGCCCCAGCGGCGGGTGACGACGAACGTCTTGTTCCGCTCCAGCTTGAAGTCGTCGTGGTCCTTGCCCTCCTTAAGAGCGCGCTCGCGGCGCAGGTCGGACCAGGTCCGTAGCTTGTTCTCCAGGATGTACTTGCCGCTGTCCTCCTTGCGCATGATGAGGAACTCGCAGTGGTTGACATTGCGAAGGTCCTCGAACTCCTCGACGGTGAAGTGGTACCACTTCATGAGGAAGACGCGGGACATGAGCCCGTGGGTGACGAGGACACAGACGCTGGCGAAGTCGTCCTCGCCGAACTGGCGCCACAGGCTCTCGTTGAAGCCGCTGATGCGGTCGTATGCATCGGCGGCGCTTTCGCCGTTGGGGATGCGGTAGAAGAAGTGGCCGTAGTCGGCACGCTCCTGCCACATGCGCTCCATCTCGGCGCTGCATGGCTGGAAGTTGCCAAAGTCCTGCTCGCGAAGCCGGGGTTCCTCGTACACCTTGATGTCGGAGCGGCGGAAGGGCGAGGCCTCGTCTTCGTCCGAGGTCAGCGTGGTGAGGATGCCCTCGGTGGTCTCGCGAGTGCGGCGGTAGGGCGAGGTGAAGAAGTGCAGGGTGTCGTCGGGGCGGAGGAGCTTGCGAAGGCGGCGGCCTGCCTCGTGAGCCTGGGCCCAGCCGTCGGAGGTCAGTTTGACTCGGTGGTCGGGCGTGGTCTGGTGAATCTCGCGGCTCTCTAGCACGAGGGGTGGAGGGGTCAGCTACCGGGGTGTGAAGGGCCATGGGGGAGGGGTGGGAACGTACTGTTTCCTTCAGATTGGGCATGCCGAATCAAGATTATAAGACGTGGTTTCGCCATCGCGATTGAATAGACTGGGTGTTGCTACAGGAAGAAGGCAACTGTGAAGCTGTTTGTGTTCGTCGCGAATATGGATGGCTGGATAATTTGTATCTATAGCATATACGGGATGAATCAAACTGCTAGTGGGGTAGAAAGATGCTTGTCAATGAAGGATGTCGGCATCGAAGCTCAGGCGCTCAATGAAGCGAAGGTATCTCAGTCAAGTCACGACGGTGGCGGACGGGGGAAAAGGAAGGGCTCGGGCGTAGGGAGCCGTAGCAGAGAAGGCGGTGGTTATGCAGAGAAGGAGGCAACCCAATTATTAACGTTGGACAGAAGTTTGGCCAACGGGGAGGGAAGCATGTGTCAGCGCCTATAGTGTCTCGCCTTTCGCCTGAGTAGGGACAGGTCGAGCCCGGCCATTGGCTGGCTGGCCGGCAGTGAAACTCCAGCCAGAGCCATTACGTATTGCGGGACAGTGACAGTGAAGCAGGGCAAGATGCCTGCACGCTGCCCAAGGGCTCTTGGTCCGTTACCAGGTCACCGGGGAGACGTGATTCCAAGCAGCATTCCCCCGGTGAATTGAGTACATGATGCCACCGAGACTCGCATAACAACACACCATGGTGTTACTGATATATCCCACCAGGAACATTTTCATACTCTCCCTTTATCTTATCGGCACCCATGTCCATCCATCCCGTGTGACCTACCCGAGACCGGCTTTTTTTTTTCTCCAGCCTAAACCTCAGTATTCCATATCCACCTTCGTTCGACGCACGCGACCTTCGTTTAACCCACCAACCAACCCTTTGAATAGGCACACCCTCCCTCTAATCCTCACCTTCGCGCAACCTCTCCTACGCCCGAGGCTCCCCCCGGATCCCCATTCAAGCAAGCACACACACAATCCTCGATCCGCCCGCCTCCTCGTCCCGCTGCGACCGTTCCCAACCGCGCGCCATGTCCGGAGAAGGCCCCGAGTCCATCCCAACGTCCGCAGACCCCAAGTCCCGGCGTCCCACCAAGAAGCGCGCCCTCACCCCGGTGTCCGCCCAGGCCGCCGGCGTCGACGCCCTCTTCGCCCGCCCCAGCCAGGAGATCAACCTCCCGCCCCCCCCCGGCGGCGCGTCCTCGTCGCTCAAGCGCGCGGCGCCCCCGGAGATCGTCGCCAACGTCCAGGGGAGCAGCGCCGGCGCGGGCAGCGGCGAGTTCCATGTGTACAAGGCCTCGCGGCGGCGCGAGTACGAGCGCCTGCGGGAGATGGACCAGGAGCTCGCGCGGGAGAAGCAGCAGGAGGAGTTTGAGAAGCACAAGGACGAGCAGAGTCGGAAGGACGATGAGAGGACCAGGAAGAATAGGGAGAAGAGGGAGAAGATGAAGGCGAGGAAGGCGAAGAAGGGAAAGGGAAATATCAACGGGGATGCGAAGGCGCCTGCGGCAGTCGGTACGGGGGTTGACGGCAAGGCTGCTAAAGTACAGCCTCGGCAGGTCAAAGCGGGTGGTGCTGAGGGAAAGGATGGTGAAGAAGGCGACGAAACGGCCGTTTCGTCTGCGCAAGCGGTTGGTCTGGTCATTCATGATGACGACTGAGACGTTGGACTGAAGTGGCTTAGAAAACGGCGTTTATTTCACAGCATTGTAATTATAGATGATACCCATGACTCTTCAGCTGAGCATCACAGCTTTTATGTATGTACTACTGCCGCCCAAAAGCATCTAGTTTGTGTTTTGTTTCGGTTCTCTTTTCGCCTATAAGGGTCTATCTTTTTAAGGTTGTTCAAACAGTTTGGGGCCTGGGTATGACCAGCTCAAGTATGTGCAAGCATCAGTATTTCATACATCCACCACCCAGATCCCTATTAGTATCCCACAGACTTTAACCAGATCCGCATACTTCCCCTGGAGGCTGCATCTTATTCTTCGCCACCAGCCCCGGGGGCTCTGCCTTGGTGGCCTTTTCGGGCGCTGCAAATGTCATCTACACGAAGCAGCAAGCATGCAGCCTATGTGAATGTTAGTTGAGTCATTCTTATCAAGAGCTGATGTGGAAAAAAATGGTGCATACCTCGATAGCGGTCTTGATACTCTGAAGCTTGATAGCCTCGGGCTCCCAGACGTTGTACTCCTTCATGTCCACAATGGTACCAGTGTCACCGTTCACGCCCCACGAGCTGTTGCCCTCGGCCTGCTTGGCACGTAGGTCTGTCAGGACACGCACGGGGCTCTTGCCGGCGTTCTGAACCAGCGTCCGGGGAATAACCTCGAGGGCGTCTGCGACGGCTTTGTATGGCCACTGTTGAACTCCCTCGATGCTCCTGGCCAGCTCGTTCAGGCGCACGGACACGGCCATCTCAGTGGCACCACCACCAGGCGACAGGCGAGGGTGGAACATAACGTTGCGAGCAACGCCCATGGCATCATGCAAATTGCGCTCAATCTCGTTGAGTACATCTTTCGAGGGACCGCGGAGGAGGACTGTGCAGGCCTTGGGGTCCTGGCACTTAGTAAGGAAAGTAAAGTACTCGTCGCCAATCTTCTCAATCTCGAACAAACCACATCGGGTGCCCACGTCAGCCTCCTGGAGATCATCGACTCGGTTGACAATAGTGGCGCCTGTAGCGCGGGCTATTCTGTTGTTGTCGGTCTTTCGGACTCGGCGAAGAGCTGTGATGTTGGCTTTAACAAAGAAATGCTGTGCGAGATCTAACAGGTCACGGTGTTAGCGGTGGCCCCATGTTGGTTGTCAAGTAATTCCAGGGCAAAAGGGTAAACTCACCTGAGACGCCCTTCTCGGTGATGACGAGATCAGGCTTGACAGCGATAATGGCCTCGCACATGGCCTTGACCTGCTCCTCCTCGATTTGTAGGATACGGTTCCAGTCCTCCTCCTTCGTGATCTCAATGTTGGTCTGTGATTCTCCCTTCTTGTACTCGAGCGGGCAGTCCAAGAGAACGATTCTGGGGTTCTCTATGCGCCTTCGCATCTTGGGGTGTGTGATATCCTTGTTCACCATTACTCCGTCCAACACCTGGCTGTCCTCGATCTGACCTCCAGGAACCTTTTCGATTCGGGCGTATCGCTTGATATCGACCTCGGTCTTTCCGTTGCCAGCCTCCCAAGTGACTGTGCGGACGGCCGTGAGTGCCAGATAGCACATCTGGTCCATCCACCTAGAGACAAACTTTGTGCCAATAGAGGATGAGATGAGCTGGCCCATGGCCTTGTCGTCGTTGATATCAATAGGCTTGGAGATTTCGTCGATGATTTCAAGAGCGTCCTTCAGCGCACGCTTGAAGGCGGAGATGATCACCACGGGGTGGATGTTGCGTTCGAGCTGGGGGAGAGCGTGGGCCAGGATTTCACCGGCTAGATAACCCATGTCAGTAATCCAACTTTCGGGCGGGCTGTAAATTATCCCGAAACTCACCCAGGATGATGACAGTAGTCGTGCCATCGCCAACCTCCTCGTCCTGTGTCCGGCTGAGCTCGATCATGCTCTTGGCGGCGGGATGTGACACCTCGATCTCTCGTAGAATAGCATGGCCGTCGTTCGTGAGCACGATACCTCCCATGGGGTCGAGCAGCATCTTCAGCATGGCCTTGGGTCCAAGACATGATCGAATGATGTCGGCGACACTGGCCCGACGTTAGCGGGCTTCTATATCATGGCGATGTAGAGGCTGTGGAAAGCGGATATGGGGATTCGGCGGGGGGGAACAGGACATACGTTTTAGCGGCAGCAATGTTGGACATCTGAGCTTGTCTTCCAACCTGCCTCTCACCACTATTGGTGTCTGCAGCATCTTGTCAGCACTCCGAGCCCGCGATGCCATCAGGGGAAGCTATGGAAGCTTCGAGGCCTGGAAGTTTCTACTTACTCATAACCAACACCGGAGCCTGCATGGTGGGCAACTTTTGTTCGCTCAACGCAACAGAGAAAACCTAGGGGAAAATACCACGGGTGATTGGAAGCAAAGAGAAATTCCCCAAGAGTCGGCCGCAAGAGTTGTGGTGGTTGTTGCCGGAAGCTTGGTGAATTTGGTCTGGAGCCTGGTCTGGACGTGGGTTTGGAGGGGCGCACACCAGGAAAATGTTCCCTGAGTCTAGAGTGGGGACTCTTTGGCGGGGAGCCTTTGATTTTCCACCTCTGCAGCCAATAGATTGAGGATGCAAGTTAACCCGTCCCGCCCCAATCTTCCACCGCCATCTATCACGATATCAACGGCAGAGGACAGACATGTCTACATTATTTGCTTTGATAATCAGAATGTTGGATTTGCCCATCAACAGTCTTGTGCTACCTACCTGCTAACGAATATGCCAACCCAGAACAACCCAATGCTAAGAATGGCAATTTTAACTCCCAGCCTGTGCAAAATACGCCCCTTCTTTCAAATGTGCTCTCTCTAAATCGCAGAAACCACCTCCAGGGCGGTCAAATCAGTAATGAAAGACCCGCTTTCCTCGCTTGTCTAGTCAAGAATGCCATTGATCAACCACCTCGAGATAGTGGTGGAAAGGGAATAGAGGAATAAAACGCCGTGGTCGCTCTAGATGCTGGCTCTCCCCCCCACACTGTAGTGTTTATCTTTTACCTGCCTTTTTCTCAGCAGGCCCAACTTCCACAAAGTCAGCGCCGGGTTTGGAAACCACTTCGACTAGGCATTCGAATCGCTCCATGTCCGCCTGCACCGCTTCCCAAGACAGCGCATCGAGGGTCGCGAGATTCCGAAACTGCTTCCACCACCGCTGTCGCCTATTTCTGCGAATGCCCGGCATTTTCGACACCCCAAGGAAATTCTTGGGACCAGTGAGATTCGAGGCGACCACCTTGGGCGCATCACTGCAGATCATGCTCGGGACACCATCTTTCGTTAGCTGAAGCGACATAGTGAGCTGCTGCGTTGAATTTGAGTAACTGGCACTCAGTTGCATGACTTGCCGCTTAGGCATGGCGATGATCACCCATGAATTTGGTAGGTTTCGAATTTCTGAGGGAAATCGGCCATCTCCTACAGCCAGCGGCTTTTCAATCCTGAACCATGTCCATGTCCGTGTAGCTCCTGAAATGGAAGTCCTGGGGGCGACGTTAGCAAGTCCAAGTCCATTTTGAAAAGGGAAGACACAGAGACATACACGTCGGCCTCATACAGCGTAATTGTGCCCACCTCGTCATCAATCACCAAGTCACCAAGCTCCATTTGCTCCCACGTCTGCTCAGACGGACTCAGTTGGAGCATCTCCTTGCAGAGTTCGCAGCCATTTCTACTGAAAGCGAGAGATTCAACCTCCAGTTTACGATATCCATTCGTGCGGCAGGCTAACTCGAGTTGACGGCGCACATCCGTTAGCCTAAAGTCATCGCCTACAGCCCTGGGCTCTTCAGCTATCAGGCCATTGTAGGAATACTTCATATCGTCCCAGAAAGGCATGAACCGGCGGGGATTGCGAGCGCCTGTCACGGCTTGGAGTCTTTGGCTTGCGATGTGTCTGTAATCAGTTGGTCAGCTTGGCCTGTCTCCCCTTGAGAGCTGCGCACTTACACAGGATACGGCTCGTCGCCTTCGACGGGTGTTGGAGGACCCTCAAAATGGGTAAACCCAAATTGATCGCCTATCGCCTCTTGGGCGTCGGAAAGGGACTCGAATGGCTTGGAGGGGCTTCTCCTATAAGACCCAAAGCCGGGATGGGAGATGGTCTCCACGAAGGATGAGTAAATCGCATCTCCCTTCCTGTTCTCTCGAGATACCCCGATTGCTATGCCCAGTTGTAGCTTCTCCCACACAGACAGCTTCATGTTCGAGTAAAAAAAAAGATCCGTGTTGGAGTGTTGGTCTTTGGGTGCCCGACAAGACGATTTCCCCGAATCGCCCTCGACTCTGCGTTTCTTAGCTCCCATCATGAAACCATCTTGAATGCGTTCATCTGAGATTTTGTCGGCGTGCCTTTTCCTCTTGGTGTGTTGCATCCTGCGCGGAGTGAACGAGAGTATCTGGAGCAAAGAACAGTGGTTGTAGTTGTTGAATGTGGTTAAAAGGTGATAAAGCACTACGCCGATAAAATATAAAGATATTTCTATTGAAGAAATTATCGCTTGGTATACCCAGCCAAGTTCACCTGGTTCTCAGCCCTTCTAACCCGAGAACAAAGCTCTATTGTGCAAATCTCTCCTATTGTTCGAGGGTGGTGAATGCCTGCCGATTCCTAGCCACTTGGCGCTAGCCCGGTGAACAGGCAGAAAGGCAAGCGACTTGTGAATGCCCTCCTCCTCACCGTGGCCTGGCTCTTTTTCGAATACTGAGAAAGCCGAAAAAGGTTATGAGCCGGCAAGAGATCGATCAATCAATCTTTGCCTAGAACGTGATTTTGGTTGAAGAAACAACAATTCTAAGAAGGCAGGAGCAGAGAGCGAGCAACTTGCCTTCAGCATAAATGAGAGCTCAGCTCATAATCCGCCTAACAGATTTCTTACTCTGCAGTCGATCCGCCTGGTCTGTGACTTATGAAGCTATGATCGGGCGATTGAAAACAATAATTCACTGGGGTTTTCGCCGCAACGCCTCCAATTTCGACTTCCCATCAAGAACTGCTCAATGGCGCAACAACAATCGCCCTCTCGCTCAATCAGACAATGCCCCCAGTAATTCATCTTTTCAGACTCGCTACGACAATGCTTAGCTGTTTTGAGAGAGGAGAAACAGACAAACACATTGTGAAAGCCATCAAAACCATCACCCTCAGAATTCTTCCCCCTTCTACGCTCACGTAGATTCAGACACCCAAACAAGGTGCATAGACAGAGGTTTGCGGTGGTAACCTCTCAAACAATACATAACCAACGGGTTCCCTAACCAAAACAGATGGCCGTGGTGAATCAGCTCGCAGATTCTTAATGAACCAAGCGTAAGTAAACCCAAGGCTAGTATTTCCCCTCGACAGAGTCAGACTACGTACTGTTTGAAAAACCCAACGAGATGAACCATCCGCTGCCCTCGCAGGACTCGGAATGCAGGTCTACCTCAGTTTGTCTATACGCCCTAGACCACCACAGAAAGGATCCGCCAGTCAACGTCCCGCGGAACTGCTCCCTTATCCCCCCTGGGCTCGGGATCAAGTCCTGAGACCGAGACAGCCAGCTGGTGAGCGGAACAAGGTACTCAGACTAGGCTACAGCCTCAAAAATCCCAAATAGGGAGCAGGTCGAGATCGATTTCTGCAAAGCCACACAACTGATATGCCATGTTGCACAAAAAAGAGACAAGGTCAGTGTGGCGTGTCTTGGTATCCAGAAGCGCAGCCCCCGTGCTCATGAAACTCGGTGGACAGGACTCCAGATTTCTGCCTTTTCCATACCCGAGCAAGTGGGTGACATAGTAAATGGCATATTTAAATGAAGACCCAAATAAATACCTAAATATCCAAACAAGTAGCCAATTCTAAGCAAAGATGATACAGATATTTATATCTTTGTATTTTTCTCGTTCAATCCTCTCTCAATGATTCCATAGCTAGCTATGAAAGATAGTAGATCATATTTGTTCAAGGGGGCGTTTAGCTGTGCTATTTCCTCCGTCACCCGCTTGCCGAGGTCTGGAACGAGCGGCTTCCGACGTGACTGAGAGCTCAGAGACACAAATGTGGAGGGAAAGGGGACTGTCTTACTTTTCCCAAACAAACATCCCCAATTAGCATCGGGGAGGGGGTTTCAACATGAGATGCTTCCTTTCCGGAAAACGCCTGTCATCATTGTGAATCATGACGACTAGGAGCATTTGGAGAAAATTTTTCGTCCATCAAGGGAACGGTCTATTTGTAAGATATGCACAAAAACACACATTGACACAGACCAAGGACAATGTTTCAATGGGACTCCAATGCCATCATCGATGGATGCTTACCAAATATTCACAACATCCTAATTGGTTTGCATGCAAAGGCAAAAGACGAAAATTGGCCAAAGAATACCGCATGGCCATCGGCCGATCCAAGATCCAAGTTTCAAACGACCGTCCAGGCCTTGCTGAGAGGAGCTCTCACATTTCCAACGTGCCCAAGTCTCAACCTAGTGAGACATGATGTGCACTTCAGCAGAAGGATTGATCCCAAGTAAGTCAGCAGAGGAATGTAGCCAGGTTCCTTCATTGTCTGAGCACAAAAACTAGGCACCCGTCGCAGCTTAGCGGCACTTGGGCGTCTTTGGGGACCCTTGCATCGAGTCCGAGACATTTGCACTTGGCATAAAGTGCACATGTCACTGTTGTACAGGGGAAAAAAGCCAGTCGTCAGACGGCAAGTTCCTGAGAAGCTTGCGAGATCCCAACATCCCAATGGCAGGCGAGTTATGCATCAAAATTGTAGTCCCAGAGAGATTTACAATGGAGGGAGTTCTTCATCACATGAAACCACAACGCATTAAACATTCTCCACGTCGAGAAGCTTGACAGAAAGCTTGGCTAGGATATTGCCAGCAAGATGCCTGTCTAGTAGCTTTTTGAAGTGAGGGGGCCTTGTTCCGCACACTGGCTGCACCAGGCACCATCCCATTGGGAAAACAGCCTGAGCCGACGAAGAGGGTCCCAGAAATATTGCGAAACAGCCATGCTGTAGGAGGCAGCGAATGGGCTTCTTTGCCGGCAGCCACCATAGCCCAACCTTGCCCCAGTTTCCTGCCACTTGGCACGGCCATGATAGAAGGCGATGGAAGGGTGGAAGGGGGGGCGTGTGAGATTCCATCCACTTGGAGAAGACGCAGAAGCAAAAGGACGAACTGGGTGAGACAGCTGGCAGCTTCCTATTGATCCAGAGCACGCATCAACACGCATTAAAACGTGGATGCAGATCCGTATGTGGCCCTTGCGGCTCACGCTCACAGACAGGTCCTCTCCATCTCAGGTAGTGATGCATGAAGCAGGCTGACCAGATCCGCTCCCCCAGTAAAGCATTAACAATAGTGCAATAGACATTCCAATTGCATCAAGGCAAAATCCTCAAAGCATGCAAGCTTTGCTCAATTCGGCAGAGGATACATTGTTGCACAAAGGGAATCGCTGTCTGTCTGCCTTTGCAAACTCTCGGCCTGCATCAATTATGCGTGGGGCCCTCCCCGTACAGTACGTAAGCTTGGACGGTGTCTAGCGAATAGAAAAGGGCCGGCAGTGCGTAGCATAGATAGATGCACGCCAGGGAGACTCCGAGTTGTGCACCTTGATGAAGACGGGCTGTGTGAGCCATATGTTTAGAAACTTTCACCAAAAGGAGTATCAAAATGAATGAACGTCATCAAGAGGAAGGCAAGCCAGCGGCCAAAGGGCCAACAACAATCATGTCAGAAAATATTAAAAGCAAGATAAACAAATCAGACTTTAGTTCTCCATGATGCGGCGGCTGGGGAGAATTGCCACACTCATCGAGATTTGCACATGGATGAAAGTATCTTGCAGATCAGCCGGACAAAAAAGACCGTAGCAGGACAGCTCTGGCAACCAGCCTAAACAATGACCCTTCCCAGCGAAGAGGGTGGCCGTGAAACGTACAGCAGAATGTAACAGCAACGCTAGCATTGGCAGAGCAAACACGTACGAGCAGACGCCTGGGCTCGTACGTCTTTCGGAGCTGTCCGGCGTCAGTTTCCGGGTTCCGAGACGGGCCCCAAGTGGGCTGAGATGTCGGCAAGCTGCATCATGACGGATGGATGGGAGCCGTTCCCCCAATTACCGCTTGCATGGGAGGGAGAGAATAGGAAGGTAACAGGGTGTCATTGGATGGCAGTTGAGTTATTTCCCCGAGAAATGCTGTGTTTTCTCCCGTCGCTTGGCCAGAAGACGGGGGGAATGACGAATGACGTCGCAGTGCCTGAAACCACATGTTGCTTCCACTGGAGACAGCAAAGAAGCAGCTTGCTCACGTTGGACGCCCTGAGAGACCGAGCCGCTGAGCTCTGCACAATTGTAGGGCAAAGATGGGCCCCTGGCCCTTGCGGTGCTATTTCCAGAGTCTGCTGCCTCAGAAGTTGGAAGGGGAGCAAGAAAGAAGTACCTAGGTATTACTAAGATCCATTTAGATTAGATTTCCTCGTCAATGCCAGCAAGCCGGCAGAGCTGCTTGATCTCGTCTTGCCTTGCACTAATCCACCAAGGCGTAGTGCAGATTGTACTCGCCCATGCCCAAGCATCCACTAAATATCACCACTAGCAGCTCCCTATCCATCGCTAATCCGTAGCAGCCGGGTCTAGCCCTGCTGCCTTGAGGCCCGTCTCCCGGGTTTGGCAGTGGGTACAGAGCCAGTAGGCTGTAACGACCAGTGACTCAACTCAGCGCGACAACGGCTCTGGCTGGCACACGTGTATTGTTTTGCTCCATACAGCATCATCATCAAGAAGGTGCAAATTTTCACGGCGGTGCACGGTTCACGACAAAAGGGGTGGTGTGTGTGAGGTTGCCTGTGCATTCACAAGGCTGACGATCCACGGGGCAGGAATGGGAAAAAGAAGTCCGGGCACATCGCGATTGGACGGGAAGACCTCCTCCGGGCACAACACAAATGTTGCAGCTCTGGACTGGCGGATATGACGTTTCTTCCCGCCCAAGGTGAGAGACCAAGGTGACCGGACGGAACTCACCGGTCGAGAGCGAGAGAGGCGTGCTTGAAGCAACCGGGAAAATTTTTCTGGGGCCATCCTCAAACCTTCGATGCCTAGCGCAGCCTTTCCCTTTCGTCTAACAAAGCAGAGCCCCGGTGAAAACCTGGGCGCTCCCTCGCAGGAACCCGCCCGGCAGGTCTGATCTGGCTAGCGGGCAGCAATCGCCGTCCAAGTTGTGAAATCTTATTTATGGTGCCCGCCGTGACCGATCATGATCCTAACGTCGCCGATACCGCTCTCTCCACATCACGAAAGGGAGTGCCCGAAACGCGTGCTAAGACTAACGATCGGCCTCCGGGGCTAGGCATCTTACGTGCTATGTAGAACACATGGTATGAGAAGAGAAAAATTTTACATGCCCAAGCGGTCGTCGAATTTTGACACACGCGGCAGGCAGCGTCTAATAATAATCATCCTGTTTGTTTCCTATGGAGGGGGAAAGGGGGGAGACCGTTGTAATAGCATGACACCAATATACATGGCCCCCTTGACGAGAAAAGAAACTTTCCAATTGTGCATCCGTGGCGCCTTGCATTTTGCCTCCCGCCCTTCTCCCTACCAATGTCTGGGGTGACAAGGTTGTGGTGGTGTGGGTGCATTTATGTACGCATGTACATACGAATTCGTTGGGGACGGGACATACCCTTGGCACCAATCAGCAAGGCTGCCGAAAGCCTTTCTGACTGTATGCTTCCAGGACTCTGCCGTGCGACCATCCAGGTTTGCAGGAGATCTGCCTCGTGTGTTACCCCCAGTTGCCTGCGGTGAGAGTCAGAAGAAGCAAAAACTGGGGAGTAGTATGCAGAGGACATCAAGGAACAGGACGAGTATGTTGATGGGTATCATGTGCTTGTATTTAACGACTTTGATTCATTGTGTGTGCTGTTTAACCAAATGATTCAATCTCGCCCATCAAATGCTATGCCATGCTATGCTTCACAGTCCTTCAAATCAACCAGTACAGGATATAGATATCATTTCAAAATTCAATGTTCCCTCCAACCAGCCCAATCGTGGTTGTGGTTGTTTCTTTGCGCCTTTGTCCCTTATCGTTCAAAATTCCATATACGCCAATCTTAAAAGGCTAATCAAATCGCCTGACAACACCAGATAATCATGATGGCCCGCCTGGAGCAAGTGGCTTCGTAGAAGCCATGGTGCCCAATGCCCATCTCTAGTTGATACGAGTTCCCCGTAGGGGGTATTGTATCCAATGATGCTTGTCGTACTGCCCTGCCAGTGCAGGGCTTGCCAATGCCGTCGGTGAAGGCTGGCCTTCCAAATTGTAAAAAATCAAATCAAATCGCCATTCTTTTCTTTTGATGATGCACCCCGCCAATACAGATGCTTATATTTTTGTTACAACAGTAGAACCCAAGGAAATGTGTTTATATGTGAGCATGTGAAGAGTGTTTTTTTGGTGGAGTGGGATAAGGGACGTGCCACCCAGGTCGTTTAAATGAGTTGCGTGTTTCGTAAGGTTGATTCATGAGAGTTGTGTAGTGTGTTTGAGAGCAGGTTGTAGTTTGTGTTGCTTAATACGAGCGTCGTCGTTGCGTCCTGACGTGCTCGAAGGAGACGGCGTATGCTCGTAGCTCCTTCTTCGCACCATCGGAAAGCTGACCCGGCTCGGTCGCGGAGTTAGCGCTGTGCATTGAGCAGAGGCTTGTGTAGGAACTCGATGGTGTCAACACTCGTCCGGACGATGAGCTTCGGCTGTGGTGAGACTCCATTGTGTAGTTGCCTAGCATGGATTGCTGTGGAGGTGTGGTGCCGTAAGGCTGTGCGTTGGTGAAGTCGTAGGCAGGAGAGAGGAAGAGTCCGGAGCTGGGTCGCTGGCGGGAAGCAGTCCATGGGTATGATGGAGGAGTCATACCGGGCGAGCTGGGCTGCGAATTCGGGGTGGATGTCCTCTCGAGTTCGGTGAGCCTGCATGCTTCGGAGCAGTACGCTGCGGAGTCGCTCTCGACCTGCTTGTCACAGGCGAGGCAGAACTGGTGGGACCAGAGATCGAGTGCCATTGTGAGTGAGGATGAAGCTGCTGGAAACGAATCGTCGGATCAATCGACGATGTTCGGCAATGAGGTTCGATGAACCGCTCTGTTGAGAATGGGCGGCAGATCGAAGGTAGATGTGTGAGTATTAGCTGTGCGGACAATGGAGAGCCAAGTGCGATGTGGTAGTAGTGTTGGGTCTCTAAGGTACGACACAAGTAAAATATATGAGCAAAGGCTTAATGTGAAGAGAATGTTGGAAGCAGAGAAGAGATTATCATGGAGTAGAAGAGATCAAGAGCCAGGTTTGAGCGGGCAGCGGGTTGAATATGTATGTATGAAGATGGGTAGGCGGGAGGTGGAGGGAAGAGAGAGCCATGAGTGCTTGGAGACTTGGAAGCATGGGTGCCAGATGTACACTTGCACGCAACTGGCAGCCAGAGGTACATGAGCCCAAGTCCAGGTTGCATGAGCCAGTCACCACTTGGGTCGAAGCGGCAAGGATGGGGAGAAAGTGGGCCTCTCTCAGGAAAAGTTCTCCACATGCCCTGCAGCACTGCAATTGCGCACTCGGTGGGTCTACAGGGAGGTGTGCACCCCCCCACAGTCGTCTGAATGAGGCAATGATAAGTGGCCTGGGTGGAGGGGGAGGGGTGTGTATCTTATGTGGCTTAACTTTTTTGTGCAAGCAGCATTTTTTTTTATTCATCAGGAGGCGTGCAGTGTCTTGCGAGCACCGCGGCGGCCGATTGGATGGCGCAGTCCAGGTCTAGAACTACCGCCTGAGCCAAGCCCAAGATTTTGGAGGCCTGGCCTAGGCACAGCACAGCGCAGTGCAAGATGAGACCTCTCAGACGAAAAATTTTCTTCGTCTGACTACCACGGATCGGGTCGAGGCTGAGGTGACTCCGACTTGAAGACGGAATTGTAACATCTCTGTAGAGATCCCGTGAGGGGCAACCCGATACTACGAAAATGAGCGAGCAATCCGCGAAAACATTTTCTATGGGGGTTGGATGAGCGTGGGAGGTATCGGGGAGGGTGTGGGTTGTGGGCAGCTTTCTTGCCTCCACAATAGGATGATTCTGCACACATTGCACCATCTTTCGTCAATCCCTCTCCTGACTTTGCAGCGCCCACCTCACCCAAAAAAAAATTTAGTAGAGGGAGTTAGAGCACGATACCCACCTACAGCGCCTGCACCAGCAGTAGTGTATGAAACGCTGCCTTCAAGATGCGCTCTCACTTTTTAGCGGGAGGCCTGCTGGTGATCTCTCTCTTGCACGGGGGGCTCCCTACAACTGATCGATGTTATGGATATCATAGACCAGCACAAGCATTTCACAATAAAGACAAACCTCTGTACAACAATGCAGACAATTACCCCTGGGCACTGTCATGCTGAAGATAGACTAATAATGCGGATTGACTCTTTTCTGCCAGGCAGGCTCAGGGCCGTGGTGAGAAGGCCAAAGCTTTGCGGCGGGTGCAGTGCACCACCTGCTACCTTCCTGGCTTGTTACAGGCCAATCTCGCAGTGAGTAGCAGAAAACCCACCGCGCCAATGGCGGCCTCAGGTGCCGTGCAGCGCCTGGCCGTAGTGGCCTGTTGCAAGATTCTTTCTCCTCCTTGGCATCGATCTCGTGATACCCGCTAGGAACTGAGTGCTGGAGCTAGTTCTCTTAGCCCTCCCTCTCATCGCCTCTAGGCGAGCATTCCTCGCCCCATGCTCTCCCCACTGCCTCAGATCCTCAGCGACTGTCGTCATGTGGGAGCGTTCTGTTGTGCTTACGTACCGGCCTGTTTCGCCTGTGAAGGTGTGACGAGCCACCGTGGGCGCCGTGGCGGCCCACCAAGGCGTGAAGCGCTGGTAACCAAACCACACCAGACCTCAGCGCTCACGGTAACTACTCGGGCCATTGCTGCTCCTAGTCCCTCCGAGTTTGTCTTGGATCATTCAGCGCTAGTTGGGGGTGATCAACGGAGTGGACGCGCTGGGGCAGCGGCGTCTCCCGTGCAAGCAGTGCATGTATCCTTCCCCACTGGCTGTCACGCTGGGAATGGTGCAATGCTACCATAAAGCAGCAGCCAAGGGAAAAGACGGTTGGGGACGCCTCCACTTGTCGTCTGTCAATTTGATCTATCATTCAGTGGACGGGGGGTCGCCATTTATCGTGCAAGTGGTAATATTTCCCTCGCCATACGATATCTGGATGCGGCCATTGCAACCCAGGAACAAGAGACATGGCTCCAGTCGTGTGATCATGTGGCTTGGGTGTTTGTCTTCCGTGCAGCTTCTTCCAGGAACGCACCAAGCGAGCCAGCCGGGCCAGCGAGTGAGGGGAGCGCTATGCTGGCCACTGTCAGAGTAATACACGTACCTACCTACAGCATTCTACTCATCATTCAATATGTGTGCCTGCTTATTACAACTTTTCGCCTCCTTGACTGATCATTGGCTACTCAGCCCTTCCCACCCCCAAAAGAGTGTCTGGGCTGTCCAGGCCTGGAGATGATTGGCAGCAAGACTGGCTGCCCGGGTGTCGCTAGCAGCAGGAGCGAGTTTGGCTTGTCTGACATCAGACCTTAGGCGATCAATACGCGCCAATGCAGATTGGATTCCTCATCGTGACCTGTATTCCGTCATTGTCGCAAATCGACCCTGAGGCCGTCCAACAGTGAACCACAAATGATGAAACCCCTTTCGAGATTCTCGAAACCAAGCACGCAAAGACAGAAGTACTAACAGACCCATCCACAGCAGCAATTGCTTAAACGAACCGAGCTTTAGTTCGAGATTTAGTTCTGCTGTGGCCAGATCCGAAGGCCCTCCCAGTGTCCCAAGACAGTTAAGGCTGATCTTTCCCCAGACTCTTCAAGCGAATCAGTTACGTTATCGCTCCTTGGCCTCCTCGGTCATTTGGGCTGCACAGCACCTCATCAGTCTGTGGGGTCCAGAACACCAAATAAAACACTAGCGAGGATTGAATTGCATTGTATGCCTCCATTCTCGACTCTGCAGGATGCTGGCTGGCACCTCAGTCCTTCGCCTCTTTGCCTAGGCTGTCGAGCCGCAGGATTTACCCCAGGTCTCCAATCTTTGCCGATGATAAGCTGCATCTCCTCGCGAGAGGCATCCCTGTCAGCCCAGCCGCCTGCCAATGAGGGAGGGGGACACCATTCTCCTTACGTCCAGACCTGCGTCCCGCTAGGCAGGGAGCAGGCTGATGGGTACGGAGGACTGCCTGCTTTGCGTTACAGCGCAGCTTTGAGACTGCGTCCTCTGAGAAGTGCATGCTGTAGGTAGGCATGATACAACATCCTTGCCACCTGACCAAGGCAAGGCCTCCTCGTCGTGTGTGTGTGTGTGCAGTGTGTGCCTCCCAACCGTAGCAGGGAGAAACAACCCCAGTCGCAGAGGGGATCGTCCCCACGTCTACCTGCCTGCTATGTTAGATGAAGTCAGAAAGCAGTGCCAATGTGTGTGTGTGGCAGAGAGCCCTAGTTGATTGGTTCGTGATGATGGTCTTCCCAAAATTACCTCGCCTGCGCTATCAAAATTCCATCGTGTCTGGTCCGCAAGGACCATGTGCTACGTGTTGCGGACGAAATACTAACACTAACACTATCACCATCTGGCACACTTCTCCATTGCATGCAGGAGTGTTTTGAGGGGGGCCATCAACTTCAGCTCGGCCGAGGGCCATCGGGGGAATTCTGGTGACATTCGCTAAAATGGAGATGGCCATTCCACTACGGCAAGCTGCCACTGGCTGCATGGACGCGAGCGGCTTGGCTCGGCTGGGCTTAGGCACCCTGGCGGCTTCTCTGGTTCTGCATGAGAGCTGCATGAAGATGCAGCAGGCTACCAGGCTGTCGAACCCCGGCCTCCCTAAAGTTGAGCAGCGTCTCAAGAGAGCTGGGACTCTCCTTTGGTGCAGGATGTCTCATAAGGAGCGAATTTCCATCCAGGTCATGAGCCGTCCAGCGCCCGTTCGCGAGATAATGTGGCGGCCGAATGACGAATCGGTGGTTTAAATCCAGGGACGAGGGTGGTTTAACCAGACAGGGCTGGCGCGGTTATCGAGAATGTGCCAGGGTTGTTTTTTCCCCAAGGCTTGGAGATGGCAAATTTCATTTTTTTTGCCTATCATCGACCACTCAGATGGGGGACATCTTCACACCACCAGCCATGATGCCCATGCTCGAGCATGGAGGTTCGAGGGACGGGTGCTTAGCATCCATCCACCATCTCCGGCTACTGAGAGGTGGAGCTAGAGTCAGGGGGCCAATCACGAGGTTGATGGCTGCGTGGACGACGCAGAATGATCGTCGAGGATTGGACCGTCACGGCCGAGGGCGATGACCCTGGTGTTGTTTTGGCAGGTGGTGGAGCACGCCGCCACTACCCCAAAGCTAAGCGATCAGTCGCTGGGTAGGTTATCATCTCCAATATCTCGAACTTGGTGTGTGGATGGACGAATCAGAGCCGGCCCTGGGCCAATGTAGCCCGTAGAGATAAGGAGCAGTCGCCCACTCACACACATGTCCAAACCACTGCGACTGCCTTGCTACACTACGACTGTGGGTGGTGCGGTGCGGTCCACGGGATCTGTGGAACCTCTACGACCTCAACCTGAGGACAGATCCACCTCGTAGACGGCTGAACCCTTACTGGCATCGTCAAGAAGCTGCCCTGAGTGCACTATTTCTGGGGCGATACGGTCCCAGATCAGCGTCGACGGCCGCTAGCTCTCCTGAAATGAGCCTCACCTGATATTTCTCATAGCGCCTCTCTTATCGTCATCCGCTCCATGTATGGTAGGATGGTAGGGGCATAGTTGGTGGGACCTCGGAGATCTCTCCAAAATGCATCGCACTCGATATCAAGGCGCTCGCCCGTTGGCAGATGGTGCTGAAACCATCCCCACGCCGGTTCATCTATAGGGTGGCCACCCCTTCGAAAACAGGAACAACACGATTGCGCATGTAGTGAGACCAGCAGCTGCCTTTGGAGTCATTGGACACGGGCATGATGGTGTCCCACTGGTGGCCCCCCCGCCCCCTTCAACCTGCTTCACTGAAATCTGCAAGGGCAGGCCAACAAGGGACATACATGGCCATGACCTCACACATTCTCCTCGTTGCGTTATTCCCGGGCGCTCTCCCCAGGCCATGCCTACAAGTTGAGTTACATGCCTACCCTACCGCGTTGAGCGTTTGGGTTTCGCTTGGCCAGGCCGGGCTCGCCAACATGCATAATCTGGGGTGGCGCTGTTGCGAGCAAGCGAAAGGGCCTTCCGTCGACCCAAGGCAGATAACCAGCCAATTGTGGGCGTTCGCCCCGCCAGGCTATTTTGCGCCTGTGCGAGCCCAAGCAGCTGCTACTTTGCATTACGTAGTTTGGCTGGGGTGAAATATTGGCGAAAGGGAAAGGGTCTACCTTTGGGACTTTGGTAGGGTAGAACAGAGCGATGGGCTGCTAATCTAGATTGGCGCTGTGGCAGAGGAGCCGAGTCCACACCCCTTCAAACCATCATGTAGGACATCGAAGGACGAGCTGGTGGGTGGGTGGTAATGGGCGTTCTGGACCAATCCGCGTGAGCCAGGGCAGGTAGCATGGCAAGCTGCCCATGAGATATATACGGTCCCCAAACCAACAGCAGTAGAGTGACAATGTGAATTGTAGTTAGGCACGATGCCGCAAGAAGCGCCCAGGGGGTGGTGTAAGTGTAAGTGAGGGAGACGAACCCCCATGAGTGCATCTGTTCTCCAGAAACCGGCTTGGCCGCGTGGCACCTTCTGACCACCGGGGCAGGGCAGTCACCGGATCGCTGGTTCAAAGAGGTAGCGTTCGTTCCCAGTGAGACACACTGGGAGACATTTGATTGCTGGTGGGAGAGGGGCGGCTGCCTCCGCCTCCACCATTACGAACGCTCATGATATATCACTCTACACACACTCGGCCGGGTCGCCGTCATATGGCTCTACTGTTCGGACTTTTAAATGGAGTCACATGGCGCCCTGGGCTGGGTTGGGGTGGAGGCAGAGCAAGGAGAATGAATGGTGGACGGGCTGGGACTATGTCATCTTGCACCGCTCATCAATCAAACTCCCCCCGAGCTGTGGTATAATAGGAATGCAGCCAAGGTCGTGTGGCCACATCTGGAAGTGAACACCGTCTTGACCTGGTCAACATAGCAAGGACCCCCACAATCCGTGCCTTTTGCTGGCCAGGATAGAGCCCTGAGAGCAATATTCTCCACCCGAAGAGAATGAGAAACTGAGAAAACAAAGAAAAGAGGACAGAAGACGGGAATAAGGCGATCTAATTGCTGGTCCTGGGCAACGATCGGCATATAACACTGCTTATTTATATAATAAGTGAATTATAGCTGCTGCTGAGATGGAAGGAAGGAAGGAAGCAACAACGGGTACCCCGCAGTTTGAGTCTCTTCCAGTGTTGGTTCATCGTAATTATTTACCCACAGGCCAGGATTCCCACTCAACTAAATTTAACCACCATCATCAACTGACAAGAACTACAGCCGCAAACCCCACCAGATCTCAATCGGGGAAAATACTGATTTTGCCACAGCTGAGTCTCTAATTGCTCATTTTTCTTGTCGCTGAGTTGATCCAATTGCTAGCTGCCAAGGATGTCTACTACACTGGACGAAATTTTTCTTTCATGGTGGGTTGGGCAGCCGGATACCAACCTCTGCTTCCCGGTGGATGAGCAGTTGCATGTCAAGAATCCTCGTGTTACGGTGCCCTCGCCACCTCACCATGTATGCTTATACAGAAATTTCATCAATTTTTATCGTCTCCCAAAAGGCCAATCGGCTTACCATCATGGTCACACACAATCGAAGGCTGTATGTCGGCAGGTACGGCAAGGGTTCGTCTTCCTCGCTCCCAAAGCCTTATTGCAGGCGAAAACAATGGATGGTGACGATCATTCACCAACTGAGCGGTTGACAGGCGAGAAAAGTTTTTTTTCCCCTCCCTGTACCTCTCCTTCTGTCAGCCGGACAGGATCCTGTGGTGGAGTGTTGAGGGTGTGCCACGATTCCGTCAATTGGACTTGCGAAGCATCATGGTCACATATCAATCCACTTCGAGACGGATGGCGTTTTGCCTCGGATGATGATGACTGCCTGGCGACCAACTTGCTGGTGGGCCTTTGTTCAGCCAGCCGCCGAATTGCCTTTTTGCCTCAACAAGTGCTATGCACTTATCAAACCATTAGGCAACATGGGCTGACAGCCATTGGATCAGAGATGATTGATCTTTGGTTCCGCCAACTTACCGATCCAGTAATGGAAGTACACATCCCTACCCAAACCAGAGCCCAATAGCTTCTAGATGCCCGAGTCCTGATACCCTTTTGAGCAAGTAGAGCAGAGGCGTGAGACATCCAGCCATTCAGCTGGCTGCTCCAGGCACAGATGACAGGTGCCAAACCGAACTAGGCGACCCGGGTTACGTGGTCATCGTCGAGCTAGGCTGCAGGCTGGAACTAACTTTGTGGGATGTGCCTCGGTGACGCTGGTCTACGGAACAACGTGGCACCCTTTGGTGGCCTGCGCAGCTGGCATGAGCCGTGATAGGCCCATTGGACCACCTTGGCCACGATGCGTTACCGGAAACGCATGTATCAGCGCCCCTCTGGCCTGAGTGCAGCATCCGAATCTGATCAATAGGCCATTATGTGAGCCGTTGTAGCTGAGGTGTGGCCCGTCAATCTCGGCTACCACCTATCAGCTCTCCTCTGGGCGCCTCCATCAATTCCAGGAGCCAATGGTTGCCTGCGGCCGTGGCCAGATCGTTAGCTGCAAGAATTTTTTTTTTCCCTTTCCCTTCCCTGTCCCTTCCAGGAATCCACTGGCCAGGGTATGTCGTGGGGGTTGTCTTGGATGCTTGAGACAGGAAAGCAAACTCAACATCACAGTCACGCCGTCACACCTTGGGGGCTCCGAGATTGAGACATTCCCAAGCCTTGCGCCAGGAAAAAATGTTAGCGTAGGGAGCTGCTGCGAACAGGCATGGTCCAGGCCAGTTTGTAGAGCCACTTTGGACCATTTTGGTGAGGCGCTCGGGAGATGATCTTACCAAGAGTACGTACCGCCCTTGGCAGATTGTGCATGTCCTGAAAGCCACAGGGAAGCCAGCTAGGCCCACCCCTCTCTGGCTTACCTAAGTCGTCCAGTTGGAGATTTGTGCAACCCCAGCCGTGAATTATGTGATTTGCACAACGCAACGCAGTACACCACAGCACACCACAGCCACACCCCTGGGCAACGACGGGCTAGCACGTACTACTGCACTAAGCTTAGAAGGCGTCAGGCTGTTGCGAAAGTGCCAGTCCACAATAGTTCCGCCGGCCTGGCTCCCAGGCGAAAGTGCAGTGCAGCCAGCAGACGCGCATACTAATTAAGGGACTAGCTAGTAGGCATCGACTGCCGTGTGTGTTACCGTCGATCGTTGATCGTGTTATTTGCTAGTGGCATCTAATGCATCGTCTTACAAGGCAGCATCGAGGAGCGAAAAATTTTTCTCCCCTGAATCTGCGTCCCTGGAGGAATGGTGCCATGGCTTAGCCTGCGTTGGTGGTGGCTAATAACAGCACATACCACCGGTCTGCAAATCAGTTCACTTAGACGCCGACTGATATCTACGGGCTTCTGAGTTACATTGCATCGATCATCCCTTGGACAGGCCTACATGCTACCGCGCCGCTTGACTAAGGCAGGTACCACATTGCAATTTTTTCACAACTCTCCAAGTCCTCAACAGCCCTATTAATACCACTTGCTGGAATGGGACATGAGCCTCCTGAATATGCGTGCGTCCGACTCAATTTCGAGCCAGGTCAGGTCCGCTGTCTCATCTGGCCATATGGGCATATAGTTGGTAAACAATAGACTAGGCGTCTCCGGAAGTCACCGGTTCCGTGGATTCCAGGCCAGCGAAACGCCTCAGTCTCTAGTTCGGATCCAGCTGTGTCGGATACGGGGTGAATCAGTGGCATAGCCTAGCCCAGCACAAACAGCCCTTTTCGTCCAGATGCTGTTTCGGTGAGCGCCCGCCCGAGACAACGAAGGCATTGGGAGAGACAGACGCCTGCAACCACATGCCTCGGTAGGTAGGCACAGCAAAGGTGCTGTTGGTTGGTCTGTGGCTCAAGCACTGAGTTGTGATTGGAACACACCATCAAGCGCTGGATCGTGGTGCACAAGCAGGCAGGCAGGCCGTTCCTACATACACCGTTACACCACTAACGACCACCTACCGACGTTCCTACCGACGGTGGTTGAGGGCCCTCGTCGTTGTCCGTGCTTCCAGTGCATTCCTTGTCTACGTAGCAGTAACCACTCGAGTACGGTACGTGTATTATACGAAGGGGGTTGCAGGGTTCCGCCCTGAGAAAATCCCATCCGGCTTCCATCCTGGGCGGCAGCTGGCCGGTCTCTAGCGATTGTGTTTTCTCCGAGACCTCTGGGTAGGTTCTGATCACCAATTGCAAAATACCCCGTAAACAGCAGGGGCCAAGGGGGGAGTCGAGGAGATTTGGCCATCCTTGCTCAGACAGATGCATGCATTGGGCCGTTGTCCTCGCGTTGCATCGAGTCCCTGCCTATCGGCACATTTCACTGAGCTTACGCCGACGCATTCCGGTTCTGCTGGTGACGTAGCTTTCGGTCGAAAGGCCTGCAGTCTTTGATTGGTTGCTGGAGCCATCGGATGATTTATGCAGCAGGAGTGGCAGGTTGTTTGACGCTGATTCTCCCTCATCGCGATCTATGTGCGTGCCACGGCCACTGCCGTCCAGTCGTGCTGGGCGATCTTGAAATCCTGCCGCTCATTTCCGTAGAGGAAACCTATTTGGTGTAGCTACATAGCCATCCGTTTCTCGGATCCTAGCTGAGGAGCGCTAGTTGGTAGGTGCGGCAGCTACTGTCCCTCGACATCGGCGTCTATCGGCGCCTCATTATAGTCGGTTCAATCTTTGCATACGTACTCGGGCGGCAAATCATCACTAGCTTCCCCTCACAAGCCATCAGGGTAGGTAGCTGACGAGGCAGTCCAGAAACGCCTCTGGCCACCAATTGCCCTAATTCCACCCCGTACGCCTAGACTGTCAGCCACTTGAGGTGTGTGAAGTTTGAAGTTTGAAGTCGGCGATTCCAACCACCGATGTGGAGACGAGATGTCGAGGCTTTGCACTAGGTTGTGGAACTGTTAGAACTTAGAAGACGGGCGGTACGATGGATGGCAGAGCGCGTGCGGAGAGCTCCACGAAAAACTATCCCAGAGCCACAATTAGCCGTGCCTGTATCGCGGTGGCCCGCCCGTGGCCTGATTCCTGGAGAAGACGATGAATAAACTTTTTCATCACTATCCATCAACCGGCGAGTTCCGATGGCGGTTCTCGAACATGCCGACCAGGAAGCATCTCGCCATTTCTACAGTCGCCAATTTCAATTGGAAGGCAACAACTCGGCAGCAATCGGTGCTCTCCTCGCACTCGCCTTTTTTTCTCCCTCCCCTCACTTCCTTAGATGCCAAATTACCAAATGCTGTTCAAGGCTGAATCAGGCAGGGAACAGCGCCGGCCCTGCGACATGTCTCAGCTGCCTTCAAGGCAAACGAGGGCTGCATAATGTGCAACAGAAGGCAACCAGCTACCATCACGCTATTCCATTCCGATGAGTAGTCGGATCCTCGGACATGGCCTGGTCCGTCTCGGTTAGCACAGCCTGCCTACGACGACGGTACCTACATCTCCGCATTCCAGCCTGCGCGATTGTGTGTATGTATGCGAGTGTGTGTCAATTCGGTTTAGAGTCGCTCTGGCAGGTGTGGGCCTAGCACCGAAGGCGACGGTGAGAGCGACCCCTAAAATTCAATATCACAGTCTGCTACCTTATCACGACATGGCTCTTGGACGAAAGGGAACACATTATTGAGTCCACCACCCCAATCCGTACACGTCTGGTCCCAATCCAGAAGTCGTATTCAGAATCCAGAAACCTTCATGGCCTCTCCAAGCTAGAATATTGATCCAGCTCAGCCACGTGGGTTTTCCCAATGTCTTGTTTCTCTCTCTCCCAGTCGACGCAAGGGCCCAAGTTCCAGAGCCTGGGAGTGTGTGACCGAGCTCTTGGGATTCTCCGTGCCTGCGATCAGACCCAGCTTGCTGCGCATGGCCGCCTCCCTCAGCTCTTGGCTGGTCTCATTGTAAGTCAACTCGTCAGGTCGGGACAGCCACCAACCAGCCAACCAACCCCCCGGGAACGACGACCAACGTGCAGCTTCCGTGGGGAGTTGGGACCCCTTTGCAGGGCAGCGCCACCGAAGATAGCAGCGGCCGCCAGCGACTCACCATGCACGCAGAGCGTGGCTAGAGCATGGCTACCGATAACGTCCCCCTAAGACAGGTTCCAGAGCTGATCATGGTTCCTACCGACGCGGCGGGAGGTATAGCGCAGTCGCTGTCTGTGGGCCTGGAACCTGGCCCTGGTGGTGGTTCGTGGTTTGCTGGGTTGGACGAGCAGACAGAGTGCGGGGAGCGCCGTGCAGGGTTGTGTGCCGTATCGAACCTGGGTTGCAACAGACCAGCCGTTCATCAGCATGTCCGTTCTGCTGACCAGCTGACTCGTCTTGGTTTGGCTCTAGCGTGATCCCTAGGCAAGGCACCTAGGGTCACCTCCTCTGCGATGCGGAGGTGGCGTCCCAAATGATCGGTGCGAGGGCTGTATTCGCTGCCAAGAGGTGGTGTTGTGTTTGTGGCACCTGGACGTGACTGCAAGAAGCTCAATCCGGCCCAAGACCGGGCTATTCTTGCGTGTGGCACAAACCAGACTATGTGTGTGTGTGACAACCCGTCGCCCTCTCGCCTGCCTCCTCCTCACACCCTGAGGCCAAATATCATATATGAGATGTGAGCGAGCTGTTACAGCGCGCGTTATGCTATGCTCCTTCTGGCCCCGACTCCTTGGAGCCCAGCACGCTAGCAACCCCAAGTTGCATTGCCCTTGCTGGCAGGGCATCTCACAGAGACCCTTGGCCTGGAACTGTTGTGCCGTTGCGAGCGACTTCTCACCTGGCTTCCCCCTCCCTTAGTCTCTGGACCCTTTGATGAGTGTGGCGCAAGAGGCATAGTTGGTGCTTCTCTTGCTCGGCTCAAGGACGTTGCATTGCTCATTGACAGGGAGTCCTGTCGTGCTAGGCCCGTAACCGTACAATCGGTGCTGGTCGCCGCGACCTCCTACTTACAATGCCTTATCATTCGCCTTGAAAGGGCATCCCGGGAGGAGGTCCGTGGGATGGTCTTGGTCTAGGCCGGGCGTTGGGTTGCGCAAAACCCCCAAGCTAGCGAATTGGCAGCGCGCCGTGCCTAAGCGCCGAAACCTGATGGGATTTCGACGATGGTGAGAGTGGGAGGGCGATGTATTGGTCAATCGGCTCGGTGGTCTGGCTCTTGGAGGTTTGCCTCTGACCCATGAAACACCGAGCGCCGGCCCAGCATGACTGCATGGCCCAATGGCGGCGACTGCCTCCCCTCCGAACGGAGGGGAGAGGTTGGTGAGAAAGATGGGTTTCATGTCATATTCCTCGGCCAGCGTCGGAGAATTGCTCCCAAGCCCTCTTCGGGCTGCGCAGAGGGTGCCCCAAGTGCGCCCTGGGCATGCAGGATGTGCAGTGTGAGTGCCGGAGACGGCATCATGCGTGGCTGTTTGGTCCTCGTCCCTCTCCACAGCTGGCCTGCTGCGTGTACACATATCTGATATGTCGGTTTCTTCCGCGACTGCATCATGTACGGCTCGCACGAGCAGACAATTAACAACGCAGTACCCGAGCCATCAGGAAGCATAATATGTTCTGTTATTGGCACCCTCCTACGTCATCTGTGCTTCCAATATGCAGCAGAAGGTTTGTCCTGGTCGCACGATGGGACGTCTGTCCCCCACGGCTGGATCGTGTGTATATCCATTCCAAGACCCAAAAGGGATGGGCCCATAACCCACGTCTGGCATCAGATGACTTTAGGGACGAATCATGCATGCGGAAGAGCCTCGAGTGTGCTGGCCGTGCTTGAAAAAACTAAACGATAGGTCATAACGTGCATGTGTCGTTTCGTAGCTCCAGCCGAGACTCATGGCCCTGCCCGATACGCTTGTGCCAACGCCACGCTTGATAAGCAGTTTCGTCGTTGAGGGGGAGGATTTGCTTGAGTCGTCAACTTATCGGGATGGTCCACTCCTGATGGCTCCTCCGTTCGCATGTGCTGTCCCCAAAGCGAGCTTCTCTGCGGTGTCCAATTGGTCGTCGGGTCGATGGATTCCTGCAATGCGTCCAGGGGAGCTTGCTTTACCAACCATGGGAATTTACATGGGAATAATAATGTGCTTGGGATAGAATCTGATGGATGAAGATGCCCATCGTGTACTTCGATGGTGAGTAGCCAGTAGCCTTAGCAGGTGTCTTATAGGAGAAGCCAAAAGTTAAACATTATGCCAACATGAGAGATGTAAAACCACAATTCCTCATTCTAAATGTCGTAAGATAACTGGCGAGCAACGTATTCTTCTTGACATACGTGCAAATTCTACGGGACTCAATGTCCCTCCGTCATTGTCTTCAATGATTGCCATCAGAGTACCTAGTATCTATGCCATTTCCCGCCAAAGGCTCTTTCATATTTCTTCCCGCTCGTGATTGCGAATTGATGTATGTTCTAATGTCCAATAAGCTGGATTAATTATCTTCTCTATACTCGATCAGCTAGTTATCAATGGATATATCGTTTAAGGGGAGGACAATTCTTCGCTATTCATTCATAATATCACGATAGTAAAGAGTATAAAGGTTACCGTAGGTTAGGACCTGTGTATTGAAATCGGGATGCTACAGTTACCTTATCGATGGGCCTTTGAGATAGCGAAGTGTATCATTCGTACTCCAGCTATAATCAATAAGCATTCGATTACTATGAACGTCATTCGGCAGAACAAGTCTGAGCCGCAAGTATCTGTAGCCGATACACAAGAGCTGTGTCCTCTTAATGGCTCTTTGAGATTTTATCCCGCATGATGAATACTACCTGGGCGCAAAGTTGAGAGAAAGTGAAAGTCTTGGTTTGCCAAGATGTATTGTAGTCCTAGCATAGCATGTCAGGTGTGAATCACAAGGATGAATCTCTCCGAATAGGTGTTTGAGTGGTATTTTATATCATCGATCTTTATATGGCGTTATTTTAAGTCTATGTCGTCTCTATTTCAGGGTAACAATCTCCTCAGAACTGGTTGGGTGGATGGCAACAGTGTTGTCAAAGTCGGCCTTGGTGGCACCCATCTTGATGGCCACGCCGAATCCCTGGAGCATCTCGCCACTTCCCAGGCCCAAAATGTGAAGACCGACAACCTTCTCCTCGGGTCCGACGGTGACGAGCTTGTACTTGGTCGGGGCCTTGTGCTCCGGCTCCATCATCGCGTAGTACATGGCCGTGAAGTTGGTGGTGTAGACCTTGACGTTCTCCTTGCCGTACTGCTCAATGGCCTGTGGCTCGGTAAGACCAACTGCGCCGACCTCGGGATGGGAAAAGACAACTGATGGAACGTTGGTGTAATCCAGCTTGCGCGTGGCAAACTCGGCACCGCCAAAGAGGCGCTCTGACAGTCGTCGACCGGCAGCGATGGCCACGGGTGTCAGCTCGAGCTGGCCTGTAACATCACCGAGGGCGTAGATGTTGTCCACGCTGGTGTTTTGGTACTCGTCCACAACGACGAAGCCCTTGCTGTCGAGCTTGACGCCAGCCTCCTCCAGACCAATATTCTTGGTCTCCGGAACACGTCCAATGGCCCAGATGAGATGGTCGACATCCGTGAGGACGGTCTCATTTCCTTGGTCGTCCTTGTAGGTAACCGTAAGCTTGCCATTCGCATCCTTCTCGATCTTGCTTGCTTGGCTTCGCTTGTGCAGCTTCACGCCCACTCTCTCGTACTCCTTGGTCAGGCCTTCCTGGATGATGGGGTCAAATGTACGCAGGAAGGTATCGTGGCGGATAAGGAGGTGAGTCTCGGTTCCAAGAGCGTTGAATACACCAGCAAGCTCAACGGCAATGTAGCCGGCGCCAATTACGGCAACCTTCTTTGGTTGCGTGGCGATCTCGAAGAAGCCATCGCTGTTGGTGCCAAGCTCGGCACCGGGGATCTCAGGTGGGATGTGAGGCTTGCCTCCGACAGCGACGAGAATCTTCTTGGTGTTGACGATGACCTTGGAGCCATCATCCTTGGTCACCTCGATCTGGTTCTTGGACAGGAGCTTGCCTGTTCCGTGAAGGTATTCGACCTTGTCGTTTGCCAGGTTGCGCTCATAGATGCCGTTCAGGCGTTTGATATAGGCATCGCGCTTGTTCTTGAATGTGGGCCAGTCAAAGGGCGCAGTGTGCTCGACGTTGAAGCCGTATGCCTTGGACTCGCGGATGGACTCGGCCAGGGTGGCAGCATACCAGGAAACCTTCTTGGGGACACAGCTACATTCAACAACGGCAAATGGTTAGCGAGGGGCTTAACACGCAGTTAGACGAGATGGGGGTATAATTCTATGCAGTCACATACCCAACGTTGACGCAAGTTCCTCCTAGGCGCTTGTTCTCGATAATGACCGACTTCTGGCCAAATCGGCTCGCCGCAGCGCGGCCAGAACCCAAACCTCCGCTACCGCCTCCAAGGACGACATAGTCGGCCTCTTGAGTGACAGGGGCCATGGTGGGCGCAGAAGTAGAGAGGTGGCGAGTCAGCGAGTTAATGCGAAGAGAAGCAGCGGCTGCACCTCTGGGTTGAATCCTGGATATAGCTGAAGCTGGAAGGCGAACGAGGCGGTTCATGGACAATTTATATGAAAGGACGGAGGTCGGCGACGGCGAGTGCGGCGCGATGGCGGGGTACTATCGCGGGGTGTCAGATAGCGGGTGACGTCTTTGTCAGACTCGATTGCGGTATTCAGTGCTTTTCCTACAATCGAAAACCGGTCTCTCTAGGGCAATTATAGGGCCAGAGTTGATTTGTAACTCTCTGCTCTAGTTTCTTCTTCGCCGCGGGGATTTGATCTAGCCGCCGAGGTGGGAGGCTTGCAGTGATTTATAGAGGCAGCGAGGGATCGTGCGCGCGGTTGCAGCTGGTTCAATGAGTGAAATTATTAGAAATCAAGGCCGATTCGGATAGCTAGACGTGATGATTACAGAGCAGTAAAAGATTGCGGCATGGGTCGCGCAATGAATAGGCTAATCCATAGTTCGGAGGCACCGAGGCCCGGCCCAGGAACCCACTTGGGTAGTTGCATCTGCCATCGGGATCAGCTGAAAGTCAATTCCTGTCAACGTTATTTTACCATCGCCTGAGCT